ATAGATAAAAATATTTATAACAATGTCTGAAATGTTATTAATTTAATACACCTAAGTACTCAATGAAGACTAAATGTAGTTGAAAACAAAAAATTGCATCTAAAATAGTACAGTAGAAGCTGTTCTTCCGGTTAAGCCTTAATCCTCTCCCTCTCCCCTGCGGGGGAATTTAGAAAAATCCCTTTTTAGTGTGCATTTTCATGGCATACCCTACTACAACGCAGATAAAAACAAAAAATCGCATCTAAAACAGTACAGTAGAAGCTGTTTTTCTGATGAAGCCTTAATGCTCTCTCTCTCTCCCCCCACTTAGGAATTTCTAAAAATCCCTTCTTAGTGTGCATTGCCATGGCGTACCCTACTAAAATGCAGATAAAAACAAAAAATCGCATCTAAAATAGTACAGTAGAAGCCGTTATTCCAGTTAAGCCTTAATGCTCTCCCTCTCCCCTCACTTGGGAATTTCAAAAAATCCTTTCTTAGTGTGCATTTTCATGACGTACCCTAACTGTGCACCAAATTTCACCTCTAGGTCCAGCGGTTTGCTCTGGGTGATGATGAATCAGTGAGTCATTCAGTCAGTCAGTCAGGACAAGCAATTTTATATATATAGATAATATTTACAATTAAGTTACTTATGTGCCTAAATTATTTGAAAATATAAAGACAATTGTTAAAAATGAAAGTATTATATTAATTATAGAACAAACAAACTTAATAAATTACTAAGACCGAATAAATAAGAAATACTCTCTAGTATCAGGGACTGTCTATAAATGACATCAACACTAGGAGGGAGGGAGAGGATTATGACAAGTCAGACAAGGGAGAGGGAGGTTGAGTTTCAATGGACGTTCATTTTATTTCATTAACTTTTATACATTTTATTATTCATAAAGTGATACAGATTTTGAGAGGGATTAAGTTTTGTTGGATGTCTGAAGTGGAAATTGTGTTATGGAAACTGGGACAATGGGGGGAGTGAAAACTTCAAGAAAAATGCAGAAATAATTTATGGACAGCCCCATATTTGAAAAAAAGAAACATTGTATAGTCTTTCCAATGTAGTTGTTCTGAAAATATTGATATGTAGGAGAAACAGAAAGAAAGTTAAGAAAAAGGATAACCAAATATTTAAGAGTAATAAAAGTATAATTATCTGAACTCAGTGGTAGTGACTCATTGCAATACATATGGATGTGAAATAAATCAAAATACAGTGAAAATAGAAAAAACAGAGGAAAATACCTACAAAAGACAATTGACAAAACACACTCAAAACGCCTTTTAAATGTGCAGCTATATTTATTAAATTTGAACATTTTTGGTCATATTTAATGACCT